AGATTGATGACTACCTTAAATTCCATCATAGAGCCTACACACTGTAGCTGATGGAAGCAGAAGCAGAGTTTCACAGCTAAGCACTGAGTGAAACTCCTGGAATCCAGTTGTAGAGGGGGAGGAGTGATGAGCAATTGGGTCTAGACTGACATCTGGGGAACCAGCATAGGACCAAACCAGGCCCCCTAAACATAGGTGAAGTTGGAGACTTGGGCAGTCCATGGGGCCTTAGACAGTGGAATTAGTATTTACCCTAGTGCACAAATGGGCTTTGGGAGTCCATTCCCCATGGAGGGATACTGTCTCAATATAAATACATGGGGGAGTGTCTAGATCCTGTCCTAATTGATGTGACAGACATTGACGATCCCCTGTGTGAGGCCTTAACCTCCCTGAGGAATGGATGGGTGATGAAATGGGATGCTAGGGAGAATGGGAGGCCATGAAGGAGAGAAAAATAGGATTGCTATATAAAATAAGATTGTTTTTAACTTAAATAAAAATTAATTTTAAAAAGAAACAAGTCATAGGAAGAACACAGAAGCTTCTGACTGCCTGAGCTTTCCCAATCACAATGCCATAAAATCCTTTGCTATAGTCACCTCATGTTCAGGACAGGCCCTAAGTGCTTGCTTCTTAACTTCTGTTGTCTTTGATGGAGTTGAAGACAGATAGTTATAATTATGGTTTTCCTTAGTTATGATAAAAGATAAGCTACATATAGAACTTTGGACGCACAAAGATGGGATGGATAATATTTTCTTTAAATCTTGCTAAATGTTGATAGACAAAATATTGTAACTGTGTTCTTACTTGATAATTGTTCTGTTATATATAATTTGACTATGTTAAAGTTAAGACTGTTCCTTTTTTTTAGACAGAAAAGAGGAGATGATGGCGGATGTCCTGTGTATATGTCAATAAATATGACAGAGAGGGAGGAATGATGAGCAAAGGGGTCAAGATTGGGCTTGTTTAACCCCCAGATAGAGCTGACCTGAACAAGGGGGAGCTCTTGCACTCCAGACTGATGGCTGGGAATCCAGCATGGGACTGATCTAGACCCCTGAATGTGGGTGTCAGTGAGGAGGCATAGGCAACCTATGGGGCCTTGGGTAGTAGATCAGTATTTATCCCTGGCATACAAATGGACTGTGGGTGCCCATCCCACAATGAGGAATGCTCTCTCAGCCTGGACTCCTCGGGGAGGACTTGGCCCTGCCATGGATGAAATGACAGACTCTGGACACCCCCCCATGGAGAGTCTCACTCTCCCTGGAGAAAGGAATGGGGTTTGGGGTAGAGGGGAGGGCTTGGTGGGAAGGCATGACAGGAGGGGAGGGAGATGGAGAGGGAGCTGGGATTGACATGTGAAGCAACCTTGTTTCTTATTTAAATTTAAATTTTTTAAATAAAAATAAAAAAGACAAAAAAAGGATATCATTGGGCAACAAAAATGAAAGCAAGGAATAGATCTGAGTCACCTGACTTCCAGAGGACTCTTAGCCATGCTGAAGTATTAACTAAGCTTGTAAGTTAGTCCTTGTTACAGCAATGGAATACTTAGAAAAACATTCCCCAAGTCTTAGAAACAAGCCATAAATTAAAATATGGTTCTAGAAAACATACAAGAAGGTATTGTAAAGAATAGTCACTAACCATTCAGGTTGTGCAAGAACAGGACACAACAGCTAATATTCAGAAGATACCAACAGACAAACCTATGTTGGCTGCACAATTGCCCTTAGGAACAGAAAAACTGTAGGATTAAGAAGAGTGACACTGGAGCAACTAAGATCAGTATATTGAGAAGTTAGGTTGGGCAGGGTTTTGTTTCTGTCTTTTCATAAGAATGAAGGCACACAACTAAGAAATCTTAAATATATATATATTATTTTTAAATTTAAATTAGAATCAAGGTTGCTTCACATGTCAATTCCAGGTCCCTCTCCCTTTCCCTCCCCTCCTCCTGTGCCCTCCCACCAACCCCCCCAATATCCCCTCATTTCCCCAGGGACAGTGAGGCCCTCCATGGGGGTGTCCATAATCTGTCATTTCATCCACGCCTGGGCCTAGACCCTCCCCCAAGAGTTCAGGGTGAGTTCATCTCTCGTTGTTGGATGGGAGCCCAAAGTCCATGTGTATACCCGGGATAAATACTGACCTACTACCCAAGGCTGATAGATTACCCAGGCCTCCTCACTGACACCCACATTCAAGGGGTCTTGATCAGTCATTTTCTGGATTCCTAGCCATCAGTCTGGGATTCAAGAGCTAACCTTTGCCAAGTCAGCTGTTTCTGAGTGTTAAACAAGCCCAGTCTTAACCCCTTTGGTCATCAGTCCTCCCTTTCTGTCACTGGATTTCTTGAGTTCAGCTCAGTGCTTAGTCATGGCAGTCTGCCTCTGCTTCCATCAGCCACTAAATGAAGGTTCTGTTTCCCAGATTTTCTGGCCATGGGATTGTAGGCTAGCACTTCCCAGATCTATGTCTAAAATCCATATATGAGAGAGCACATGCCATGCTTGTCTTTGTGACTGGGTTACCTCGCTCAGGATGGTTTCTTCTAGTGCCATCCATTTGCCTGCAAATCTCAGGATTCCATTGTTTTTTCTGCTGAATAGTACTCCATTGTATAAATGTACCACATTTTCTCTATCCACTCTTTGGTTGAGGGGCATTTAGGTTGCTTCCAAGTTCTGGCTATTACGAATAATGCTGCTATGAACATAGGAGAATGGACATCCTTGTTGTATGAATGGCATCTTTTAGATATATGCCTAAGAGTGGAGTTGCTGGGTCTTATGGTAGGTTTATTCCCATTTTTCTGAGGAATCTCCATATTGATTTCCAAAGTGGCTACAAAAGTTGGCACTCCCACCAGCAGTGGAGGAGTGTTCCCCTTTCACCACAACCTCTCCAGCATAAGTTGTCTTGTTATTGGTGTTTTTGATTTTAGCCATTCTGACAGGAGTGAGATGGTATCTCAGAGTTGTTTTTATTTGCATTTCCTGGATGGTTAAGGATTTTGAGCACTTTCTTAAGTGTCTCTCAGCCATTTAGACTCCTCTATTGAGAATTCTCTCTTTAGTTCTGTAGCCCACTTTTTAATTGGATCCTTTGGTGTTTTGGAGACTTGTTTCTTGAGTTTTTTTCTAAATTTTGGAGATCAGCGCTCTGTCAGATATGGGGTTAGTGAATATTTTTCCCATTCTGTGGGCTGCCTTTTTGTCTTAATACCACTGAAAAAATGAGACATGTGAATAAAAAGGATAAATCATCCAAAGAAAATGATTCAAGAAAAAGAGTAAACTGGCCTATTGATATATCACATCTCCAACAGAGAGATGTCATAAATCTTCCCAAAAGTTTGTTTCCCCTGTTCTCTGTAGACATTTAATGTAAATGTCTTCTTATAGTCCAAGTTTAATTAAAAATTAAACTATCTTTGGAGTTGGAGCACGGCTATCTCTTTCTCTAAATCCAAGCATGCCTGGTAAAGAAAAATCCAAAATCTCCATATCCTATCAAAAGAGATACCTGATAGGGGACAGAAGAGAAACCAAAATTAAAGACTATTCTATTGCCCTTATCTCATAATTCTTCGCTTTTATTTTGACTCTTTAAATTTTTTCTTAAAGTATAAACATTAGTTTAAAACTTAAAAGATTGGGATTATATATATATATAGTTTATGAAAATGCTAACTCACAATGCAAAAGAATAATTAGATCGTTAAAGGCAAGGTCAGCACCCACAGATAAATGGATTCAAAATACACTCAATATTGAATGTTATAACCATGATGATAATTGAATATATCCTAAAAATAACATCACCCACACAACATGAAGTAATTTTAAGAGCATGACACCCACATTCCCAGCAGATGCAGGGGGCAGTTTTGGGTTGTTCATTGGGTTATGCATATTTGTAATCTTTTAGGGAGAGTTGTTTTTATTGGTAATGTTCAGGAAAATAATCTACCTTCTCATCCCAGCAAAGCCCTTTGCTGTCTGAACCATCCGTCCATGTCACTAGGAGGTACTACAAGCAGGAAAGTTCCTGGTGGTAAATAAAGGACAGTGGTCCTTGCCAATTGTCTGTATATACATGTTTATATTGCTGCAGTCCACGCTGTGAAAAGCTTATACATGTGAACCATAATTTAAAATATATGTTGGCTCTAGAAATCAGAACAATACCAGCTCACCAAATATGTGATGGCAGGCATCTGTTATTCCTACATTCCAACTGATTCTGTCCATGACTTTCAACCTTTCCTTTGGCTCTGCTGAGCAAACATGAATTATTAGAGGCCTGTGAAGCAAGTGTATCTCCGCTGACCATCTCACAGACTCAGGAAGTGATGTGTGTTGGCAGGAAGAAAACATACATTTTTCTGACTGTAAGATGGAGTCTGAATTCCTGGCGTACTGATGGCAATAAACGATCTCTCCACCCATATAGGAGGTGGTTATCCAAATAACCCATGTCTCTCTTCATTCATAAATTCTTCTTATTACAAGTTTCTTACAAAATCCATGAGGGAATGAAGCCATTATTGAGAACATGAAACAAAGGGCATCATTTCAGGACTTGGATCCAACTATACCCTAAGCCAGATGGAGTCTATTTGTTTTCAGTTCAGATCCCAATTCTCCCTAGCTTGTTTGCTTTATCCTCTTAAACCAATGGAGGTGGATTCCTCACTCTCAGACCATGGAATTCTGACATATGCATTCACACAAAATCTAACTTCTCTGCAATGGAAACATGTGGGTCTATAGTCGCACTGTAAAAGTGGCCAATATCAAGATAGGAAGAATGGGTATTATTCAGTCAGTCATGCTGACTCCATAAACAAGAAACACTCCTCGATGATTCCATTTATTACCCTCATTTTTTAGTGTTTCAGAGTTTTCTGCATTGAACAATAGCCCTTTGGGAATGTTGAACAAAACTATCTAGGAATCTGGCATTCAAAACATGTGATTCAGTCAGTAGGATAGGAAGAAATTTATTGACCTCTCACAACACACTATCACAGAGGCTGACTCTATCCAGGAAAGACCACGAAGACATTCAGTTGCAGAGAGGGAGGCTTGGAAGGAATGGCAGAGCAACATGAAAGCCACCCTACTTACTGCATGATTGCAAGCAGCTGTGTAAATGATGAAATGCACTAGCCTAGGCAAACGCTATGACCTTTCCCACTAGAACATTCTCCCATTCACCCATGCTGTGTGTTCTTCCCAGCTCACAATGAAGCCATCACTTCGTGGCAGCCTCAAGTTCCACAATTCTGGGTCTTAGTGCTGACACAAGGCCATCACCATCCATCACTGCCACTCAGCAGCTTTTGGGTTGCAGTATCTTGGCTGACACTAGGTATTTTCTTTGGAGTCTCATTAGATCATACTGAAATGAGGACTTGCTTTTCATCCTGCGACTATATATGGGGGACTGCTATCCCATCATCCAAGAGACCATGAGGAAAACAAGGATTTCAAGTGCACCCTTCTTCAAACAAGTAAGTAGCTCCCCACCACTATGTAACCCCAATAAAATTATCTTCAGGAGGATTTGGGGCAAGAAGCAGAGGGAAGGCATTGTTTGGGTTAGAGCTCTTTAGCAATTTTGAAGACATAGATGACACTGTGTCATGTTAAGATGAGCTTACGTGGATTTTGTTGACTGCTAAGATTTTATTCTTCAAATGACTTGGCTCAGTGTATGGAGAAGGGCTTCTTCCTGGAGTGTAAGCTCAATAGTGACAGTAAGCTCAGTAGTTGCTTCACTAGGGAATGTGTTACCCCAAAACTTGGTGGAGCCATGTAGTAGCAGACTTACCCTGGTCTTTGAGGTGGGCTATAGATGGCTCATGGAAGGGCTGACAAGTCACTGAAGCAAGACAACGAATTTCGGTGGAAAAGCACAGAGAAAAGTTTCAAGCAGAGATGGCAGCTAGTACAAATGACCTGAGCATAGAGAGCAGGGTCTGCGGTGAGCTTGGGTTTCCTGGCCCTGCCTCTCCAACCCCTGACTGAGTCTCTAATTTTCTCTTCCTCCCAACCTTCCCTGCTCATCTTCAGAGCAAGACAACTTCTTTCCTAAGTTATAATTGTATGTAGCTCTGTTTTTTATTTTTAAATTCACTATACAAAGAAGTAGGTTTGCTGTGTCATTTTCCTATACTCTTAGTCCCTGTTCCTATCCCTCTCCCTCCCCTGCTGTTCTTCCCCAGCTCCACCCCTTGCTAATGGCTTTCTCCTTCCATTTATTCCATGTCATGTGTATTTTTTGCTCTTCTTTCCCCCTCTTCTCTTTCCTTGTGATTTCTTCTTCTCCTCTCATGGTCTCCTTATCATATGACGTCACTAACATTCACAACATTCATCTGTATTGGTGTGGTGGTGGGTATGTGTATTGTCCAAGACATAAAATGGGATATTTTGCCTTTCTGAATCTGGCCCCTTTTGCTAGGCACAATGGCTTCCAGTTCCATTCATTTCCAGAAAATGTCATGATTTCCTTTTTCTTTATGACTAAATAAAATCCTTTGTGCACTTGGCCTCACTTTCTTTATCCACTCCTGAGGGTTATCATCACTGAGGGTCTATTTCTTACCTGTTGTGAACAGAAGCGAATCTGTCTTTTAGGAAGGTCAAGAGTGAGAATTACAGGCATTCACTGTGGGTTCCTGTTTCCTCTTCTTACTCCTAGGAACATCTGGGAGTCAACACCAATTATGTTCCAACTTGAGAGACTTATTGTCTTGTTTTCCGTGCTCACTGGGACCTCAGCATTACCTTTGGGTAACATTGTTACTAACCATAATAATTTGGACATTCTGAACTCTGTCTCTGGAAGTGAGTCAGTAAAGTTGCTACCAGCTAGCTCCTTCCAGTATCAACCATAATAAACACTATACCTGAAATAGCAGAGGCTGCTTGGAGAGGGCACTGTTGTCCTTTATGGGTGGCTTACTGAGAAGTGTGCAGTTGTTCAATTCCTGTTCCTCACTTTTACTTTTAGAAGTAAACAGTACATTGACATTCTATCTTTGTAGAGTCTGAGCAATATATCATAGGATAAGTTCTTCAAAATGAGATTTCAGAATTTTAAAGTTTGCATTTTAAATTATTTTAGCTGTTGACTGGTATTCCCTATGCACTTTCTCTAGAAGTCTGAGGGAGCCTGTCTCCCACACTGCTCTCCTGCTCTAACCTAAACACCTTTAACTGGTTTGCTGTTATCAGAGATGAGAAGATTTTACTCATTTCACTTTGTATTTCTCTAACCCTAACCATCCCCCTCATTTTTCATATATTTACTGCTGGTTTACATAGTTCCACTAATGTGTTATGTCAACATTGTTAGCATATTTTCTATAGTTTGACTTTTCTTATTGGTATGTGTTGACTTGCTGGATATAAAAGTCATCAGTCCACCTGGCTTAGATATTCATAAACTAATATCATTCTGTTCACTTTACCTCTGTTCTCTGCTACAGAAGAACTGGGATAACTGACAAGGAGTTCCTATAGGAAAAGAAAAGCTACCTCCAAATCTTGTCAATGTTTAGGCAACATTTCAAGACAAAGAAAGAAGCCATCTTCTCATTTCACATGAGGGGAACCAGTGCAGAGAGAAAGGGGTACCAGGTTCAAGGTTTGGTAAGATGGAGCTATGTAACCAATGCTAGCTAAGGTGGCTTTGTCTGCATCAATATAATAGATAGACCCTGTTGGCACAGAGACAATATGAGGTATTAAAATTACATCTGTTTTATTAAAACTGTTTTAAGATTTTATTTTGTTTCATGTGTATGTATCTTTGTGTGCACATCTATATGGGCTACCCCAGAAGCCAGAGGAAAGAGTGGGGTACCCTGGGTTAGAGATGATTATGAACTGTCCAAGAGGATGCTGGGTACTGACCTCTAGTCCACTGCAATTGCAGCAACTACTGCTAATTGTTGAGCCATTTCCCCTGTCTCTACACTGAATGGGAAACACAGATAATATATTATTATACTTGAATTCTTTTCTGTAAAAAAGCTATTCAAGTTCATTTACATATTTATAAGCATTTATGTATGTATGTATATTTGTCTGTGTATATATAAGTATGTATGTATATGTGTATCAGTGTATATATTACAAACAGCCTTAATGGAAGATGTGAATCTTTTTGACAACTTAATGATACTCGATACAGGAAAGCAGTCCACAGAAACAAAGGCTTGTCTTCATAGCAGTATGATTAAGCAGCTAACAATCAATGATGGACTGAAACATCACTGTACAAATGGAACAAAACATTTATGATAGCATGATTCTAATCTAAAATACTTAGACCCATAGAAATGAAACAATTTATAGACTGTAAATAAATTAGAAGGCAAAACTGTTTTACAATCATTATTTTAAAGAGTCAGTTTAAGTCATGGATTACTTTAAAAAGAAGGGCTTTTGTTGTTGCTATTGTTGTTACTTCATTCTATTTTAATCTTTGAGTGTCTTTGTATCACAGTAGAGATATTTTCTACATAAATATCATTTGTACTTGACACATGCTGTCTGGCACATGGCATTTATTTTCTATACTTCCCAGTTACTCCCAGAGATCTTTTGTTGGGACGCTCTATACTCATACTCCGATGTCAATTATTGTTTTCTGGGCCAGATTACAAGCTGTCATTTTGGGACCCCTAATTCCCACTTTCACTAATTGGATCAATATTTACCCTATATGTTTTTTCATGGTTCTAGAGTTTTCTAGTTCTTAGTTTATTCTCTCAATTGCTTGACTACCTTTATCAGACTCACACTATAATCTCATTTCAAACAACAGATCCTCAAGCCACATAAGAAAAGTGGTATACACAATTGCATGCAGTTTTTAGGCCAATTGATAAATTTCTTTTCTTGATAACTGATCAATATTCGTACGGAGTGAACCTGGAAACAATGCATGGATTCTGACATGTGGGCACATTTCCTAACCTTAGGAATCTCAGATGCCTCTTCTTAACAATGTGGATGGTGGCAATTCTCCCTCATTGAATTGTTCTGTAGTCTGAAAGAAACAGGGCAGGGAATCTGACTTCTCTGAAACAAGGAGGATGGGAGCTCATACCTAGTGGTACGGGCTCCAATTGATGATTTTTTTCCAGAATTCTCTCAGAACCTGGAGATAAATGAGAACTCCATGGAAGAAAATGAGATGTGGCCATTAATTGATGACTTCATTGTAGGAGCTTTGAACTCACCAGGCTATAGAATATTGAGCTTCTCTTTACCTCAGCTTGTTACAAGGTGAGTTAGTGATTCTTTGCTCCCAGAAAAGGGACTACCCCCCTAGGGAGGACAGTTCAAGGTCAAAGACAGGTGGATAAGTCTCATCTTCCTTCACACAGCGAAGGAGTTCTGATACAAGGCTCATTAGAGCTTCAGTAATTGAGGAAGGGCTATATACCAGTTTGGAAAATTCACACATCTGGGTTTCCACAGTCTGCAATTTCAGGAGAAATGTGTATGTTTCATTTGTCCCCATCTCCACCTGCATCTTGATACCTAATTCCTTTCTCTGAGAATAACACTTTCCACCTTCAACTTTATCCAAAAGTAAAAGTTCAAGTTCCTTCAAGGGACATTAAGCTGGAATCCACAGCCTGTTATTCGCAAGAAGTGACTTCATGGAGTTTTGTGTCACGCAGTCCTGGTTTCAAGTTATTTTTCTGCTGCCTACTGCTTCCCTTTCTCAGTCCATTGTACCTGAGACAGCAGACGCTCATATATCTCAACAGGATGTAGTGAGGACAAAAGATTAATGAGGAGAGTTGCAAACAATGCAATGAGGAATGGCAAGAGCTTACTTGTCTGTTTTGGGTAGGATGCAAATCAATGCAGTGAGAATTGAGGACTTGCAAGCTGAATGTCCTCTGATGGCAACAGCGTAGAGCCGATGATGCCCCTGGTTGTGGACATTTCTGTAGGACTTTGATGATATGTCACTTGGATTTAGATCGTGTAGTGACATGGCAATTATGAGTAGGAACCTAATTCCCAGGTACTGCATGATCTCTGCGATGGGAGATGCCATTCTATAAATCTGTCTCTTATTGGTTGTTGAATAAAGCACTGTTGGCCAACAGGGAAGTGAGATAGGTGGGACTAGGAGTAGAGAAGGACTCTGGGAAGAAGAAACACAGGGAGTCACGATGTAGCTGCCATAGGGGTAAGAATCCGGACCCTTTCTCCAGTAAGAGAAATACTTACATTAACAATTATGGAGTAAATACTGAAGTCAGAGATAGCCAGTGAGAAATCAAGCAAACAGCCAACAGCTTCATAATTAATACAGCGTCTTGTGTGTGTTATTTGGAGACTACAACTCAGCAGAGCCCAGGCGACTGGTGCGGAAAAACCAAAGCGGCTGGCAAGAAAAAGACTTCACTCAACACCTCTGCACTTAGTTTCCTGTTTTGTAAAATGTAGACCCTCTGAGGTCTAAAATCCTAATCAAAAGTTATCAATGAAAACAGACTATGTTAAATCTCTTTCAAAACAATGTCCTGTGTAATTCACTTTGTGTGTGTGCATGTGTGTTGAATGTGTGCATTCATGTATATTCAGAATCATATATGTATTCACAATGATGGTAGAGTTCACAGTTTAACATCAGGAATATGCCTCAATATTAAGCCACATTAATATTTGAAACATGGATTCATGCATAATCTACAATGCAAAGAATTGAATCAACTAAATGGACAAGTAAAATATAATTTTATAGCTTTTAATTTGAAAAGAGAGATAAGGAAACAAAAATCAAGAGCCTGTTTCAGAGAATTCCCAGAGATGGAGCTGCCTATTTCAGAGAGAGCAAGACCCCAGTACATGTGAGATCCTAGCTTCTATTATAGGCAATGGGGGACAAAGGAGTTGTATGTACCTGAATGTATAAAGCCATGAGCTGTGAAATCTTCAAGTGGCTAACTATCCTTTCTATGTCCAGGACTGTTCACTCTAAAAAGAGTGTGATTAATCTAGCTCTGTTGTAATGGATGACTGTATTAAACCAAATTCAGTACTTCGAATGTACACAGCAAATTTGTGTCACAAATCATAGTAGTTATTTCCATTCTTAGTCTAAGGCCAAATGAAAATCTCACATGTGATAAAAATGCATAAAACACAGAATTCTAATACAAATGCATAACTTTCTGGAGACTATGTAACAAGTTGATGTTACCCAGATAATATTGACAATGCCCTTAGACATGGTATATTGTATCCACTCAGAAGATGAATACCAGTGCAACGTACAAAGCCTTTTAGACGTGTATTTAATGTGACTCTCTTTTTCTGCGGAGTTAATGATAATCGCAGGGACAACACCACCTATTTCTTGACAGTCAGATATCTATTCAGGGTTAATTTAGAGAGTCAGAACTCCCTACCCTATAAGAATATGTTGCAATGCTGAACTGAAACATTGTCGAAAATAGTGGCCTTATCAGGCAGGTAAGACTTATCCATCCTAGGAGAGCAGGGATGTCAGGATTCTTCAGGACCCCTTACTTTAATCCTATTCCGACACCTGGGAAGTAGCATGGTGGAAAACATAATCAAACAAGCTCTTAGTGTCAATTCTGTCACAACTATCAGTTTTGTGACTCTGAAGCTTCATTTATTGAGGCCTCAGTTAGCACATCTGTGCATTGGAACAGGTTCCTTGGGAAACATCCGATTTTCCGCGGAGAAGCAGTGTTTGGCAGTACACCTTCTCCATCTCCTGGCTTAAGTGCGGTAACTACAGGTATTTTAACCTGAGACAAAACAAGAGGTGATTGTTCCAATTTAGAAATCACCAATTGGTGGTAAGAACATCTAATTATAACAAGTCAGGTAATTTAACACTGCAGGATTTTAGAGATTTTGTTACCAATGTCATGGATTATGCAGTAAAAGACAATTATGATATTTTTCATATGCTTGTGATTATTGTGTTAATACATGTAATCACATGGAATAACCACATAGACAGAATAAAAAATTGAAAACATACATAGATAAGATCTCGATTTAGCCGGGCGGTGGTGGCGCACGCCTTAATCCCAGCACTCAGGAGGCAGAGGCACGCGAATCTCTGTGAGTTTGAGGCCGGGCTAGACCGATAGCCTCTGAAACAATACAGAGAAACCCTGTCTCATAAAAACCAAAAAAAACGATCTCGATTTGATATTAAAAGGTAAGTTAAGGCTTTAAAAACTGACTGGAAGGGACCCAACAGAAATTATTGTACCTTTAACTAATGAGGTAATTAGCACATAATTTCCAAGTACTCCATAACCTTTGTATATAGTTTCCTATTCTGTAAAATGTAGACCTTCAGAGATCTAAAATCCCCATCTTTAAATTATTTAGCAAAAAAGGCCATGTTAAATCTCCTTCAAAAGAAAGTCCTGTGCAATAAATATTGTGTCTGAGTTGCATATGTGTATTCATGTGTATAAGACTCATATATGTACTCACAAGTGATGGTGGAGGTCAGAGGTAAACATCAGGAATCTGCCTCACTCTTAAGCCACTTAATTTTGAAATATGAATTCTCACAGAATCTGGGAATCAGAGATTTTAGGTGGACTAGCTGGATGAGTAAAGTGCATTTTCAAATTTTTTAATTTACAAAGAGAGATAAAGAAATGACAAAATCAAAAGCCTGTACAAGAAAATTTCAGGAGACAGGGGTATACATTACAAAAAGAGCAAGACCCAAGTACATGTGAAACTCTAGTTTCCATCATCAGCAATGGGGTGGCACAGTGGTTGTATAAATTCCCTGCACTTATGAAGCTACATGCTGTGAGATCTTGGAGTAGTTACCTACCTCTCTGTGGCCAGGACTCCTTTCTCTGAAAAGAGTATTATTTATCTCCTAGCACTGTTGTAATAGTTAAATGGATTAAACCAAGTACAGTTCTTTAAATGCACACAGGTATTTTGAGTCACAAAGGTTAGCACTTATTTTCATTCTTAGACTAATGCCAAATAAAAATCTCCCATGTGCTGAACATGAATGACAACACATTCTAATACAAATGCATACATTTTGTGGAGAATATGCAACATGTTGATGTTCCCCAAATGTTCTTGACAATGCTACACTATGTCCACTCAAAAGATGAAAACCAGGGTAACCTGCAAAGCCTTCTAGATCTGTGTTTAATGTGAGCCTTCTTTTCTGCAGGCCTAATGATAATTCCAGGGACAACACTGCCTATTTCTTGAGAGTAATATGTTCACTCATGATTGGTTTAGGGAGTCAGAAATTCCCACCCTATAGGAATATATGCCAATACTGGACTGAAACATCAAGCGAAATCAAGGGCTTATCAGGCAGGTAAAACTCAGCATCCCAGAAAATCAGGACTGTCAGGAGTCTTCAGGACCCCTGACTTTAATCCTGTTCCTACACATGGAAAGCACCATGGTGAAACACACAACCAGACAAGCTCTGAGTGTCAATTCGCTCACAACTATCAGTTTTATGTCTTTGCAGCTTCATCTGTTGAGGCCCCAGTTTCCACATCTGTGACTTGGAACAGTAGAGATCTGTGCTCATCAGCTTCTAGGATAAAGATATGAGAATATCACACGTTTAGCTGGGAACCTGGAACATGCTAAGTGCTCAAGAGTCATGATGTCCACACAGACTCTGTGGACCGATCATTTCCATTGCTGTGTCAGGAGGATGACCTCTACAACCATAATCATGCATTTATCTATGGTGCCTTTCAGCTGGCTCAATGTACTTCATGCCCCTGAACACAGTAACATTATATCCATGTCCAATGGCAGGAAGTAGGAAGGTTAGGTGTACCATGGACTCTGATTGTCCTCAAGTAATCTCTGCCCTTTGGAAAATTCCTGCAGTGAGATCTTGACATCATTATCCTGCCATTTACTATCACTGATCCATGTTGACCCACAAAATCTCCATCTTTACCTTTAGGCTAAGAAAAGAATGTTTAGCTCAGGTACAAGGCGGGGCCATGGGAGGCCTACCCACTGTCCAGGACAGGAAATATGGACTGCAAGCCAAGGTGTGGGTCTGGGAATCCTCAGTCAGGAATAGAGGGATGGCCTCCATTTTTGGTCTTGATAATCATGTCCTGATCTCAAATCAAAGCCAGACCCATGAGTTTGTAAAGTATATAAAAGACCTTGGTCCTGCTGGACTCTGCCTGCCATGCAGACCCAGGAGAGTCATGTTGTTCCCCTGGATCTGAATCACAATGGCCATGCAGACTCACATGGTATGGCTCTGCCCTCACCCTCCTTTAAACACATTGTCTTCAGTTTTGTGCCTCTGACAAGCACTTTCCTAACACAGGACATTGGCATGGACGTTGTGGTTACATACAACATCTTTCTCCTTACTCAAACTCACTCAATCTTTTCACATTTCTGGGCCTTTCCTAGTTTCCTTCCCTTTTTCTTATAATAATATTCTCCAGTGATTCAGAGAACTAATCTCAGTTGTCACAGTGTGCACACATACTTTGTGACAGGGCCTCACTGTACAGTTCTGGTTAGCTTCAATGTCAGATATCACCTGATTCTGTCTCCTGAGTGGTGGGGTCATAAGTGGGTGACACCAACCAGATGGCACACCATATATTTGATTGTACCTGTTCTTGGCTTATTTTGTGTATGGGGATTTCTGTGTGAGCACACATGCACATGTGTCAGTGTCTGGAGATCACCAAGTAGGGTAAGCCAACTGAGGACTCTCCCATCTCTGGCTTCACTGCTTTGGGTTACAAGTGTTTGCTCTCACCTGGCTTTTCCCTCTTTCCTTCTTAATATGGTAATAGAGATGAAATTTTGGTTCTCATGCCTACAAGGAGGATAATATGTGGACTGAGATATCACCCTGTTCCCTTTCCTAATTCTACTATGTGATATAGGCAGGCACTGTGTTAAGCTCTGCAGAATGGCTTGGTGAAAGCACATATGTTCTCTCTCCTAGACACATATCCTGAGGATAAAGCAGGCATGGGAGTATTTGGTCCATAAGTCAATTCAAGAAAAATGAGGGTGCCTACACAGACCATTCCACTTAGCAGGGCACAAGGAGAGCAAACCATCCCTTCAGTGAGCACTCTTGATTGAAACCTAATAAGAGATGAAGGGGAGA